TGTCTTCCTGGACCATTCTCTTGCCTTCACCATGTTTGTAACCACACCAGTAAATGTCTAGAAGGAGCTGAGTATCACAGTCATTTTAAAGCTGCCTAATTGGTGCTTATTATGCTTGATTGCTGCTCGGTGACATCCACAGGTGTTTTCAATACCTGATGGAAAGCACCTGTATGAACCTCTGTTCTTCAGAGTGGTAGTCTTTAAGGGGTTGAATAATTGTGGCAATGAAGAAACCACATAAGAACCATTTACTACTGTATTACATAAACAATTGATGTCATTTTAGTTGCATTTGGGTAGTTACAACGTCCTTGTAGGATTTGATTCTGAATACAATTCCAAATGTACACTATAGTCCCTAAACCCCTTTACAGCATTGGGGGTTGAATAATTTTGGTCACAACTGTATATATTAAAAAAAAATAAATAAATAAAAATGTCGATTTCAGTTTCCAGTGCATCCTGGATTTTTCTGTTTCAGCCCAGAATTTTCATTTCGGTGCACTACTAAAATAAATTCATTTGAGCCAAGCAGCCTACAAAACACGTATTGAAATGAATATGCTGGAGTTACATAGAAAGCCACCACAAGGAGACTGACAGAGGAGGCCCTTATTTCATGTTATGGAACAAGCTGAAGTCCAATGTAAACAGCGGACTGGTTCTAATCCGTAGTGGAATAGAAGGAAACACATCAGGAAGTGAACTATTGTTTATTTGCTAATCCCTTACATTCATCTTCTGTCCAGGACAGACCCAATAATTAAACAGGAAGTTGAACCATCACCAGCACCATCATGAAAGCCGCTCTGTATATAAAAGCATCACAGGCCACTCTCATTGGACATAACATTCACATAACCCATTCAATGCTGGAACAAGCAGGGAGCAGAAAACCAACCTTTGTAAAAGCTGTGGTTCTTTATCCATCTGGAAGTTTGTGACATTTCAGGATCTTGAATCCGGCGCACACAGCACCATTGCCCTGCCTCCAGCTTGCTGTTTGGGCTACTAGCCGGCATTACCCGTACTCTGCTATACACAAACATATCTTCCCTCCACCTAAGTAACTCTATCCTATCTTTCACAGCAAGCCTTATTTCAACTTTCAGCTACGCTTGTGGCAGCTTGGTGTAAAGATATTTCAGCAATTATCATCCCTATCCCACCCAGCCCCAGTGCCCTTTTAATAGGCTGTACACCCGGGGGGGGTGGAAAGGTTTTATTTATTATTAGGTACTTGTATAGCGCCGTCAATTTACGCAGCGCTTTACATATATATTGTACATTCACATCAGTCCCTAACCCTCAAGGGGAGTACAAATCTAAGGTCCCTAACCCTCAAGGGGTGTACAATCTAAGGTCCCTAACCCTCAAGGGGCGTACAATCTAAGGTCCCTAACCCTCAAGGGGCGTACAATCTAAGGTCCCTAACCCTCAAGGGGTGTACAATCTAAGGTCCCTAACCCTCAAGGGGCGTACAATCTAAGGTCCCTAACCCTCAAGGGGCGTACAATCTAAGGTCCCTAACCCTCAAGGGGCGTACAATCTAAGGTCCCTAACCCTCAAGGGGCGTACAATCTAAGGTCCCCCTAACCCTCAAGGGGTACAATCTAAGGTCCCTAACCCTCAAGGGGTGTACAATCTAAGGTCCCTAACCCTCAAGGGGGTACAATCTAAGGTCCCTAACCCTCAAGGGGCGTACAATCTAAGGTCCCTAACCCTCAAGGGGCGTACAATCTAAGGTCCCTAACCCTCAAGGGGCGTACAATCTAAGGTCCCTAACCCTCAAGGGGTGTACAATCTAAGGTCCCTAACCCTCAAGGGGCGTACAATCTAAGGTCCTTAACCCTCAAGGGGTGTACAATCTAAGGTCCCTAACCCTCAAGGGGCGTACAATCTAAGGTCCCTAACCCTCAAGGGGCGTACAATCTAAGGTCCCTAACCCTCAAGGGGTGTACAATCTAAGGTCCCTAACCCTCAAGGGGAGTACAATCTAAGGTCCCTAACCCTCAAGGGGCGTACAATCTAAGGTCCCTAACCCTCAAGGGGCTTACAATCTACGGTCCCTCACATTCACACATACACATACTAGGGCCAATTTACCTACCAGCATGTCTTTGAAGTGTGGGAGGAAACCGAAGCACCCGGAGGAAACCCACGAAGGCACAGGGAGAACATGCAAACTCCAGGCAGGTGGTGCCATGGTTGGAATTCGAACCAATGACCCTAGTACTGCCAGGTGGAAGTGATAATCATTTAGCCACTGTGCTGCCCAAAAGATCAGGGATCACGTAACCACTGATTGGCTTTCACAGTGGTCACATGATTGGAAGCCAGTCACGTTGGTGCTGATATTTGAGAGCACAGTCTCTGTGCTGGGAGAGTGCAATAAAACGCTCTTAGCACAGAAACTTCAATTGCCCATTGGCTCATACACAGCCGTACCTCGGTTTACGAACACCTCGGTTCATGTAATTTTTGGTTTACGAATGAAAATCCATTGAAAATAATGCCTCGGTTTATGAAATTTTTTCGCAATACGAAGTTTCCCCAGGATGCATTGCGCCTGGGAGGTTCATAGCGCCGGCCCTGTGCCTTAAAAGTGCACTTTATAAACAGATTTGAACAAAAACTTTTTTTCCTACTTTTTCTGACCTCGATTTAATTGGTTTTCAATGCATTTACGATTTTTTTTTTATTCATGTCCCTGTACAGTATTTATGCCTTTAAAGTGCACTTTATAAAGAGTTTTGAACAGATAAGACTTTTTATTTTTTTCTGACCTTCGGAACGGATTAATTGGTTCTCAATGCATTTACAAATTAATTTTTAATCATGTCCCTGTACAGTATTTATGCCTTTAAAATGTACTTTAAAGAGTTCTGAACAGATAGATTTTTTTTCACTTTTTTCTGACCTTCGGAACAGATTAATTGGTTTCCACTGCATTCCTATGGCAAACCACGTTAAAGTTTACGTCCCGGAGAACATATTAAATTTGTAAACCGAGGTACGCCTGTATATGGCATGTGGGCATTAGCCTCCCTAGCGGTCTGATTTTGTCAGTATTTCTGTGCTCAAAGCGGTACATTTTTTTGCATGGAAATATGTCGTTTTTTATTGTAGGCCTGTAATTTTTAGGAATAACTCACTGAAATCTGTCCGAACAAGAGTCTAGTAAACATCCCGGGTATGATAAAATTTGAAACACGAAAATCATAAATTATAATTTAATCATAAAAAATAATATAATAATAAAAATTTAATTCAATAATATAATCAAACCAAAAACACTGAAATGTGAAATAGAGCGCCAAGTTGACACATCACTGAGCAAAGTCACAGAATCGTTTTCAGTGTCTGATGAGGAATTTCCCCCACGAATCATTATCACTCAATTCTGCAAGTGGTTCTGATTTACTATCGCTGTTCTCTAGCCGGTCTAAAACCACGTCTGACCTAAAGGGACGCTTTTTGGACGCCATGGACGTTTCTCAGTTTCCAGGCAGAAAGAACAGTAAAAATGCAGGCAGGGCGCCGGACAAAGCACTCGGGACAAAATGTATGTGAAATGGTTTGATACAGGAATGTTATACTATGTGATTTTAGTGTATTTAGTGAATGTCACTTTTTAACACTTTTTAATTTCCCGCCAGTTCCGTCCCCTGTATGTTCCGACGTCGCAGGGAACGGAACCCGGAAGACAGATACTGGCATCAGCCAGAGGACATTACAGGGGACACTGCAGGGGGGACATCGCGGGAGCGCAGGACAAGGTAAGTGCAGAAGAGATCCCGGAGCAACGCTGCAGTGTATTCCCGAGTGTAGCTCGGGGGGGTTACCGCTTGTGGTGCTGAAACTTTACCCCGAGCTACACTCGGGAATACCGCCAGGGGGGTTAAAGTCCACCCTTTTGCTGTTGCACAGGGGCAGTAACAGGTTAAACAGACCCCTTCAATAGCCTACAAACCCCAAATGAAGGTGTCAGCCGCAACGGATGAGGTAGTATACTCATGCTACTCTTCAACACTACTGGAAGTGTCGGATGCCTGTTACCCCCATGATGGGGTTCCATGACAGAGGATACATCGCTAGAATGGGTGACAGCAGGAGGCATGGACTCCCAGGAGAAGCCAGTATACTACTACTTCTATTGCAGGGAAACTATCTGAATGTTGTCAGGTGACTGAAAGGGTCCCTTTAAGTGAAATGTCTAGGCTTGGGGGGGGGGGGGGGGGGGGGGAGTAAAAAGGCGAAGTTCATTCTTTAAAAAAATAAAATGCCTATGCAAGTAAGGGGCATCTGTTGATAAATTCAAACCGAAAAAAATAAATTTTTCCCTTGTAATAGGTGTAGGACATTATATTTTATGATGCCTGACTGAAAAGCTCCCCGAGATGGCACAATCCCATCCTGCCTTGTTGCTAGGACATTGCTAAGAGGCTCCCAAGCTGTTACTATTCACCATCACAGGAGCAAGTCCTCCTATTCAAACATTTTCACATGCCCCCTGATGTAGTAAAGATGGCAGAAGGGCAATGCTGAATTAGCTGGATATGTAGGTATTAGGAGGATAACCCAGCAAAAAAAGGAAAAAGGATTAAAAAAAAACAAAAAGCAAAAAAACAAAAAAAAAAAAAAAAAAAAACACAAACAAAAACCCCACCAAAAAAAAAAAAAAAAAAAAACAAACCCCCCCCCCCCGCCCAAAAAAAAACAAAGAAACCTACCAAAAAAAAAAAAAAAAAAAAAAAAGCAAAACAACAAAAAACACACACAAAAAAAAAAACTAAACAAAAAAAAAAAAAGGAACACTAAAAAAAAAAACCAAACAAATACAGGGTTGGGGGTGGGGCAGGTGTGAAGCAAATTATGGGTGTTTTTATATTTCTGCCTCGAATTTACCTCTAAGCTGGTGTGGTTGCACTGAATATAACAGCCTTCTGTGTTGTAAATGCATTATAAACAATTAGAGACCATTTTAATCCACTCACCAACCCCCAAAGTGCTCCTTCTGTCGTGGCCACGATGGTCGCAGCCCTTGGAGTGTTGTACATCAAGGCGAGCTCTCCAAAACTGCCGTGGTTATCGTACGTGCCCACGCAGCGAGACTGTCCGTCTTTGGCTACGAAAATGTCATAGAGCCCTCTGAAAGAAAATTAACAGGCGGCTGTTTACTGGTGACATTTTAAAATATATACGTGCCCCCGAATGCTAACAACACAGCACAACATGTTCATTCATTATCAGCACAGAGCCAAGCAAGCAGTAAAAGATCAAATGACAATCAGGAGACTTTAAAAATGCACAACCCCTCTTAAACCTCATCACACTACTGGAGACCACCAATACAGACTTGTTCAGGCTGATAGACCAGCAATACCACAGATATTCTGTACACAAGATAGATTATTCTCATATCAATGTTTCTGTGTCTACAAGGAAAGTAAATCTTGCTTTAGCCTGTTATACATGGGCGTTCAGCATGCACACGGAGTGCCCACCTTTCAACACATCGTAACCACTTTACCCTCAGAGTACATTACTGAAAACACTTTGCTAAAACATTTAAATACATGAATACTTACTGAAGCGTCTGCATTGCTGCCCACAGGGATCGTACCTGCAGAGCAATGGGTTCAAAAGTGCAGCTAGAGCCAAAATATTCGATTTTGTTTTGATAGGGACAGAGCCTCAGTCTGGGCTTGTTCGCACCAGGTGCGAGTGCGCATGCGAAATCGAGCATTTACCCATCCATACCAAGCCCTTTGGTTCTGGTATGGATTTTGAGGGGAACTCCAACGCCAAAATTAAGGGGGGAAGGTGTTTGGAGGGGACGAGCAAGCACCCAGCCCTTCCCAAAATATATCAGGTCACATGCCCTCAACATCCGAGTGACCCCGCCCCATGTAACGCCATTGATGTCACATGGGGTGGGGTCACAAGTGTGATGTCACCTATTTAAGAACTGTCTAACCACCGGAGCAGGCAGAGACAGCGAGAGCCATCGTAGAAGGCAGAGCCTTTTTTTTTGTTTTTTTTCAGGTCGGCGGCGGGAATCGCGATTGACGTTGGATCTAATGCAGGGGGCATTCTTTTAATAAAGCAGTTGTCAACAACCGTATCCTATCTTTCACACTACACTTTGTTTTTTTTGTAAATGAGTATCGGGACCATGTACCCCATACTCACATTGGGGGGGGGGGGGCGGGGCGGGATCTGGTGGCCCCCTTCCAGATTCTGATAAGCCACCTGCCCGCCTTGTGGGGACAAGGTGATTTGGGGGGGTTGGAGCCCCTCCTGCCCCAAAGCACCCATGTTGAGGGCATATGGCCTGGTATGGTTCAGGAGGGGGCCCTTACTCATCCCCTTTCCTGACCTGCATGCTTGGATAAGGGTCTGGTATGGATTTTGGGGGGGGGGGGGGGGGGGGGGGGGGGGGGGGGGGTCCCAAGCCCTTCTGGCATGGGAGTTCCCCTCAAAATCCATGCCAGAAGGGCTTGGTATGAATGGGAGCGGGAACCCCACGCCGGTTTTTAAATGTAATTATCGCCTCATTTTTTTCTTCTTCACTATAGCTCAGATTCAGCTGTCACTTTCCCCCCAGCTAAAAGAGGGTTTCCTTTTAGTTTATTTCCCCAGTTAAAAAAACAATGTTTCCTTGTAGTTTCTTAAAAGAAACAAAGCTTCCTTTAACTCCAGGGAAAGTGACAGCTAATTCTTTGAGCTATAGTGAAGAAACAAAAAGTAAACTGAAAATTACAAAAAAGGCGTTTGTAAACCAAGGTATATATACATACATACACACTTTTTTTTTTTTAAAGCAGAGGCCCAAAGAATAAATTTGGTGAGTGCTGCAATTTTTTATGTCGCATGGTATTTGTGCAGCGTTTTTCCAAGCAAATTTTTTGGAAAATATACACCTTTCATGAATTTTAGTGCACACAAACACAGTACACAATACCACATTTTTGGAAAAAAAAAGTATTATGCCAAGTAAATAGATACCAAACATGTCACACTTCAAAATTTTGCATGCCTATGGAATGGCGGCAAACTATGGTACAATAGGTTGTCCATAGGCAACGCTTTAAAAGCTTTTACAGATTACCACTTTAGATTTACACAGGAAGCCTGGTGTTAGAATTATTGCTCTTGATTTTATGTTCACAGAGATACCCCACATTTGTGGTGTGATCATTGTTTACGAATGTGTGCAAGACAGAAGCGTGCATTCACTTTTGTGCAAGCACAGGGGGATGGGGGCTCTTTAAAAAACTTATTTTCACACTTTTTTTTTTTTAAATCAACTTTTTTCTTTACTGCAGGCATCATCCTGGTATAACCACTACAACCTCCACGACATACCGCTACGTCACTGGGGCAAAGTCGTGTCGGCCAGCACCTTTTTCGTATGTTTCACTTGCATAGGACAGCTAATTGAAATTAATCGGTTGTCCTAAAATATGACACGCAGGAATGTGCAAAAAAGTACATGTGCTCAGACACACCTTGTGGTGTGAATGAGCCCTTAACGTTTCTATTGTAGTCTGTGTTTCTATTTGGATTTCCCCTACTTCCAGTTAGGAAGAGAATGATGGAAAGACTCTCCAAGGGAGAGACACAAATGTTTTTAGTGGAATGAGGAAGGGTCAGAACATTTTATGTATTGCCGTCCTTGCCTTCCTGACTCATTTATGACCACTTCCCTAATTTCCTGTCTTGTTGTCACAGATGGAGTTAGATTTTTAAGCGTAATCCCAAGAGTGGCCCCGCCACATCCAGAGAAGCACTGACCGATTAGCCAATATAGAAAGCCTAAGATGAACTCCAGGCATATCAAATAGACACAAATTAATACAAGTAATAAACTCTTTTTCTATTAAAGCAGTGTAAGCACCAGAATCTGACCTAGCATCAGCCTCTTGTGTGCCTATACAGCAGGGCTGGAGCGTAAGTAGAAGAAGCAGTACAAGGAGACAATACTTCATGTGCTAAGAAGCACGCTGATAGGAGGAGAGCACAGAGGAACAGTGCTGCTTCTCCTTTCACTGTCCAGACAAGCTGAGGGGCAGCACCAAGAAAACCTGGTTCAGAGGAAGTAGGCTGAAAATTGCTAGCTTCAAACTAAGGACTTATAATGGCAGAAAAAAAGTACTGCAGAGGAAAGCTCTTGATTGCCAAATATTGCAGCAAAAGCCAATTTATTTTAAATCTTAATTAGCTATTTACTTTAATCTTGTTATTTTTAGCAGTTTTAACCGCTTACAGACCAATGACGTACTCACACATCACTGGACTTCCACAAGTTATACTGGGATGATGCTTACAGCTGCAGGCACCAGGCCAGTATTATATTTCTTCAGCCGATAGTCCGATTTCTTGTAAAAGCAATCCTAGCGGCTAATTAGCCACTTGACTGCTTTTACAAGCAGCAGGAGGGGACATACTCACCTTCTGCGTCTCTCTCGGGCTCCCCTGTCCCACTAGATCTGTAAACTGTGATTGCAGCACACGTGTGAGGTATCGCCATGAACGTCAGATCATGAGCAGTAATTCGAATTCCTCCTGTGCAAATCTAAAGTGGCAACCTGTAAAGGCTTTTAAAGTGTCAGCTATGGATAATAAACTTTACGTAGATTGTTGCCATTGCACAGACGTGCGCAATTTTGAAGCGTAACATGTTTGGCATCAATTTATTAGGAGTAAGATACATTTTACCTAACAATTGTGTATTATGTATTAAAAAAATCGAGAGTATTTTTTCTAAATAAATAGCATTTGAAAAACCGCTGCACAAATACTGCGCTACAAAAAATAGCAACACATTTTTTATTCTCTAGGGCCTCTGCTTAAAAAAAAAAATACTTGGGGGGGGGGGGGGGGGGGGTCCAAGTAGTTTTCTAGCAAAAAAAATACTGATTTTACCATGTAAACAAAAACTGTCTGAAAAGGTTTGGTCTTCAATGGTTAAACATTGTATTCCCACTGGCATGCCAGGCATTCAGAGGCCTCAAGTAAAACTGCTAGCCAGCATCTGGGACCCAGTTACCACCGTCCCCCAGTATTATTACAGCAGAGGTCTGAAGGGCTTGCAATGGAGGGATGCACAACGATCAATATACCTTCAGAAGGTCGTTCTACTCTAAGCGATAAAAGAACGGACACGAACATACACAGCAAGTACAAGCAGATAAAGTCGTCTAAAGTTTACATGAAATACTCACATTTGAATAAATATGCGAACAGTACACATACAGGCATGAAATATGCCAAAATACTTATTTCCAAAAGGGAAACAAGGCGTGGCCTTTGTTAAATTTCTGGAAGTTGCTCTATTATCCCTGGTGCCTAACATATGACCCGCCACCCCTCTGCAAGTGACCCACAGGCTGATAGGCACCAATTGGGCATCAAGGTGCTGGAACAAGCACTGCATTCCAGCCCTTGGCATTGAAAGAGGACTACTGTGAGCAGTTATTTCCTCCCACAATACAAGCAACATCCGGACCCAGAGAAAAGAAGTGCGCAGGAGCCAATGATCAGGTAAGTCACATTTGTCAAAGACAAGTAAACTCACTGCCGTGACCACCAAGGCGGTGCGATGTGCATGGGAGCAGCACTTTTCCTGGCTTTGTCCCACCTCACTGCACATATAGCACCATTGGCTCCAGCTGCTGTCAATCAAGTTCTGAGATGAGGAAGCGGGGCCGAGCAGCCCTGTGTGTAAACCGACACAGACAAGGGCGGCTCAGGAGCGAGCCTGCATGAGTGCACCTATAGGAAGCAGCTTCCTATGTGGGCACCCACCCAAAAGGAGGGGTGAGGAACGCCAAAAGGAGGATTGGGCTGCTCTGTGCAAAAACCATTACGCAGAGCAAGGAAATATGACATGTTTATTATTTTCATGGGAAACAAAAAACTTGTAATGTTACATTAAGATCTATAAAGGAGGAAAATAAAGAGGGAGAGCCACGTCACGCCGCCAGAGCAAAATGGAGCTCTGGCGGCCATCTTTAAAAATCAGATGGTTAGTCCTGATAGATTGCCGTCTGCTGCTTTTACAATTTTATCCTTTGATGCATCTGATCGCAATAAAATTGTTCACAATTACTACACTATAGGTGTATCCTTCTTCCTACCCCCTGGGGGAGCTCTCTAAACTTTCAGACTCCCAGCTCCAGGACGGATCTACATACCTGTAGTGGATATCTGCATACCCAGGGAGCAATATCAGGTTCTTTAAAGGAGAAACCCTAGAAGACGAGGATTACCTGTAAACCCTAAAGGTTCCTGTCTGACGACCCACCACCCCTTAGAGCAGTGGTTCTCAACCTTCCTAATGCCGTGACCCTTTAATACAGTTCCTCATGTTGTGGTGACCCCCAGCCATAAAATTATTTACCCAGAAATTATAATTCATGAAGTGTCGTTTTACCTCCAATACTGCTGCTCTCTACACAGCAGCTGCTCTCTACACAGCAGCTGCTCTCTACACAGCAGCTGCTCTCTACACAGCAGCTGCTCTCTACACAGCAGCTGCAGCTGCTCTCTACACAGCAGCTGCTCTCTACACAGCAGCTGCTCTCTACACAGCAGCTGCTCTCTACACAGCAGCTGCTCTCTACACATCAGAAATATGTGTTTTCTGATGGTCTTAGGGGACCCCTGTGAAAGGGTCGCGACCCACAGGTTGAGAACCACTGCCTTAGAGGGAAGACCTAGTTCCTGACCCCTTCCTATCTGATGACATCTGGATTATTAACATAAGGCGCATTTTATATGCGCGTATGGTGAGTGTGCATTACTTTCAGTACTACTGCACTAATACCGGGTGCAGAGTTACCAGAGCACAAGAGTCACCTTTATCTTATTTTATATATGAACTTTTTTATCATTTTACCTGTATTGGATATCCAGTATTGATATATTTTCTGTAATTGTTTTAGCGCTGCACCGTTTTTTATATATTAAAAAAAAATATATGTTTGGATCTGAAAGTAGCATTTATGTCCATGAACTCTAACCAGAAAAAAAACGAGATAGGATATGGGAGTATTTAGCAGCACTCATCACAGGAAAATTAGAAAAAAAAAAAAAAGAAAAAGGAAACCAGCTATTCCAAATATTTGCTCATTATGTATTAACAGACACAGTACATGAAACTGAAGAAATATCTAAGCTTCAATAAAAGGGGGTGGCTGAGAGCTTCCTGCACATCCCCGCAGTAAAGAGGTGGGTTTCCACAGAGCAGATGATCATTAATCTCCAGCTCCACAATGCCTTAAATTACTAGTTTTCCTACTCGATTCACCACAATACAATATAATCAGGCACAATCTGCACGAAGGTTTGCTGCAGTGACTGAACCTCCAACAAGCAGCTCAGTGCAACAAACGTCAATGCTACTTCCGCATTGAGGAACTCTGGATGAAAACATGCAGATCTTTGCAGAGATCCAAGCTCAGCTTTCTGCTGGCCAAGTATAGATAAATTCAAGCCAGAATAAACTGTTCTCTTTAGGGGCACATAGGTCACAGGGTCCCCCAAACACTGGACCCTCATATTTCATTAAAAATAATTTTCACAATTGATAAAGATGTATGTAATAGGACATTTTCCTGGTATCCATCAACTTGACTAAATATGGGGATCAATGGGAACCAGAACATATTTGATGATGCTACGTAGACCATGTGTCAGGAATGGACTTGCCAGTAATGGTGGGACTCACCTGCCTTGTGGGCTGCAGTACCAGGGCTGGCCAGCGGGTGCTCCCAGCAATCAGAGACTCAACCCTGCAGCCAGCCAAACACCTGAAGTTGATCATGCAGGTGTATTTAAGGGATGGCCAGACCTGCAGTCTCTGCCTTGGTGTGTGTTTTTCCTGGGCCCCTGTATCTTGTTACCTGCATTCCTGTTCCTGTCTGACTGATTTGTTGCTGACCCTGCCTGATCCGGACCTCTGCTGACTTCTCCCGTTTTATCCCTGGCTTGTGACCCCGACCATTCTCTGCCTGACCCCCTGTACCTACCTGCCCGATTGTTATTGACCCGGCCTGCCTGACGACGCTTGCATTGTATGTACTGTTATCTGTGGGTGGTTTGGTTCTTTGCACTGTGTTATGTTTTAGTATTGCACTGCGTTTTTGTTTTTTTTTTGTTTTCTTTAATAAATTATATTTTTATAACTTATTGAAGCCTGCGTTTCCCTGCGTCAGTTCACATACCTCTGGTCATACCCTGGAGCCCTGACACCATGGGTGCTGTAGTTGAAAACAGCGACTTGACATGGCCATCTACCAAATCTGCTGTCTAGCAAAGGCTTGTGCGGGCTCCCTGGGAGCACGCAGCACCGCGGTCCGGTGCCCGCTGTGTCCTCCGGACACAGTGGAACACCAATCATCAGACGGGACCTCTGCGAGGTCCCGATCATGTGATCACTGATTGGCCAATCAGTGATCACATGCAGAGTAGTAAGCAAGATGTCACTTCTGACATTGCTTACTATGTGTGAAAGGTCACATGGTACAAGGCTATTCACAACAGCCTTGTACCATGTGACAAGCTGTGACCAATCACAGCTCACACAGTAGTTCTCAATGGCTGCAAGAATGCAGCTAGAGAGAAGGAGAAATGATTGCTTTTACATCCTTTATGAGTGTAAAAGCAATCAGTGTAAAAAAGAAAAAAAAAAAAAATACCATAGAAAGAAAGCTCAATTTGTGAGGGGGAAAAAAAAAGGGTATAAATTTCATTTGGGTGCACTGTTGCATGACCGCGCAATTGTCAGCTAAAATAACAGCACCGTAATGCAAAAAATGGCCTGGTCAGGAAGGGGGGGGGGGGAAATCCTCATAAGGGCAAATGGTTGAAGTGGATTTTATTTATACCCAAATGGCATAAGAACTGAAGTTCACATACTACCATTACAGAACTTGAACAAGTGGGCAGGACAGTGGCTAAATGGATAGCACTTCCGCCTGACAGCACTAGGGTTGTTGGTTCGAATCCCAACCACAGCACCACCTGCCTGGTTTGCATGTTCTCCCTGTGCCTGCGTGGGTTTCCTCCGGGTACTCCGATTTCCTCCCACACGTTAAAGACATGCTGGTAGGTGAATTGGCTCCTGTCTAAATTGTCCCTAGTATGTGTATGTATGAATGTGAGTTAGGGACCGTAGATTGTATGCCCCTTGAGGGTTAGGGACCTTAGATCGTACGCCCCTTGAGGGTTAGGGACCTTAGATCGCCCCTTGAGGGTTAGGGACCTTAGATCGTACGCCCCTTGAGGGTTAGGGACCTTAGATCGTACGCCCCTTGAGGGTTAGGGACCTTAGATCGTACGCCCCTTGAGGGTTAGGGACCTTAGATCGTACGCCCCTTGAGGGTTAGGGACCTTAGATTGTACGCCCCTTGAGGGTTAGGGACCTTAGATTGTACGCCCCTTGAGGGTTAGGGACCTTAGATTGTACGCCCCTTGAGGGTTAGGGACCTTAGATTGTACGCCCCTTGAGGGTTAGGGACTGATGTGAATGTACGATATATATATAAAGTGCTGTGTAAATTGATGGTGCTATATAAGTACCTGAAATAAACAAACGAGTATCAATGAAACGTGACCACTCTAATAAATAACCATCCTTCTGGCTGAATCACAATCAGCAATGGATTTCCAGGCTTCATGCATGTTTGGGATCTTTAAGTCTGTGATCCCATGCAGACGAGTGACAGTTTGGCAAACATTTGCTCCATGTGAACAACTACACATATAAGAAACGCTCAAAAGGGGCTTCTTGTTTTTTTTGCAGTGCCACGTCTGACCAGAAGCAGGGAAATTTACATATCAAGATATGATCTAAGTGAATCAGTTCAAGAGGAGGAAAAAAAAAAAAACGTAACTGTCCTATTTTGCACTGCTTCTATTTTGCACCTTACCTGAAATAAAAAAATCTCACTTTTATCACATTCAAATTAACTGTTTATAAGCAATAAATGGTTAATTTGAATGTGGTAAAAGTGAGATTTTTTTTTTTTTTTTTTAACTAAAAACATAAGTCGCACACATTCTAAAGAAAGTCACAGCAGCAAGAATACCGCAAATTATATTTACCGTTCAATAACGTAGAAGTTATCGCCATCATCTCCCTGGTCAATGACGTGTTCCTGAGGTTGTACTCTCCGTTCAAACATGGCATCAAGAACCTGAGAGAGCTGTTCCTAAAAGGAAAAGAGCAGAAACATTGTTCATAAAAGATGCCAGGTGCCTTCATACAAATCCTATTCCTCAAAGCTGAAATCCAGGATAATTTGGTTTTTGTAATTTACAAGATTCATGTTCCAAGAAAGAAAAAGAAAAAAAAACATAAAATAAATCACATGATCAGCCACACTGCAAAAAACCTAAAGTGTTATTGAATTTAAAACCAAAAACGTAATATATGGCAGCTTACCAAATCATTAGATGTGGTGGCAGCATTAGTTTTCCCCCTCCCCCCCAACTGTCTTCACCTGGTGATCTGGCCAATTATACAGTATTTATAAAGCGCCAATAGTTCGCTCAGCGCTGTACATTACAAAGGGGGACAGAACATGTGACAGAACAATACCAATACAATGCAAAACATGAGGGGATCGAGGGCCCTGCTCTTTCGCACTAATAACACACCTCCTGTATAAGAGCGCCCCCCACTGTGAATGAAGGAGCAACAGAGACACCTTTGCACAGCAGCACAGTCAGTGTGGAGCGAGGGGAGTATTAGATGTACTCACGGATTTAGATACACTAACAGATACCAAACCCCAGTTACTATGTTATAGGCAGTTACTGCCATTTTTTTTCTTTGGGATAAAAGGTTTTACATCAAATAAAAATGCTGATCACTGTTAAATGGTTTGTCTCATCCCTCTATCTGCAGGACAACTTGTCACATGAAAAACTGACTTACTGGCAGGATCACCAGGTGAAAATAAAAAAAAAAAAAAAAAAACCCATGCAGCCATCACATTTAAGAATTGGTAAACCACAATATAATAAAAGTTTGCTTTTGGGTTCAATGCCGCTTTCAGCATACTTCAGCCTTTGTGCTAAATTATTCTTGCAGTTAACGTTTCCCACCTGTTTATTCCAACACCTTTGAGCAACATACTTTAGTGTCAATTTATTCCATATTGCTGAAACATCTTCATAAATTATAGAAAAAGATTTTGCCGACAAAAAAGCAATCAAGCAAGTTTTAACAGAGAAGTATGGAAACTGCAGTAACCCAAAGCAGCTAAATTCCAGTTCACTAAAATCCAACTGGGAAAAGGTGAATTCCAGTTACCCCGGGTTAATGCATGTGAAGACTCATGTACACGGCATACAATTTGCTGCATTCAGATCCATATTTTATTCAGATCTGAACAGTATAGTGTCCTGATACCAATTTATATTAACCCCTTCACGCCGATGCTGACCGGCCCTTTAAGGGTTTCAGAAGCCGGGAGGCAGGGTGGGGTTTAGGGTCATGTGACCGCCGTGACACGCAGTGTCTGACATGAATGGGAAAGGTCCCAATCGAAAGAGGAGATTGGGACCTTTCTGTGAGTACCGGACATGTGGAAGCTTGCAGGGCGCGCGCTCTCAGCACGTGTTCTTTTTTTATAGTACGCAAATGTGCGGCCAATCGGCGTTTAGGCCCAGACGCCGGGAGGCCGCACGTTTGCATTCGGCCTGCATGAAGAGGTTAATTAAGGCAGTCAGTTTACTGTTCGCAGAACAAGGATATGATCTACAAACCGTCTACAGACAGTGCAAGCTGTTACTCTTGTACTAAGGCCTCAATGACAAACATGAATGTGTTATGTTGGCCATACATGGGTCGAAATTCAACCAATTTTTCATCCGAAAATCAGACCTAAAAATAAAATCGGCTGATTTTCGCTCTGTTAGTGGGTCAATGACACCAGCCAATTTCCGTGGTTCCTCCCCTTTTCGGTGATCGGGCATGCTGGAAACTTCGTGAAAAACGACTGATTTTCGACTCAATGATGGTCAAATCATACAATCGTTTTTACAAAAAGAATATGCCCATGAGCCGTGACCTGGAAGGAACAGAAGTTTCGCCTGTTATATGGGGTGAATTTTATGACTTGGACAGCCGATTTTCGAAATCACTGATGGCACCATCCAGGGGCGGACTGACAACTCAAGGGCCCCCGGGCATCCCCATGGGCCCCCGGGCATCCATGGGGCCCCCATCATGGGGGGGCCCCCGGGCACATGGGGCCATGGGGCCCCCGGGCATCATGGGGCCATGGGGCCCCCGGGCACGGGGCTCATGGGGCCCCCGGGCACCATGGGGGCCCCCGGGCATGGGGCCCCCGGGGGGCACCATGGGGCCCCCGGGCACCATGGGGCTCATGGGGCCCCCGGGCATCATGGGGCCCCCACCATGGCACCAGGGGATCATGGGGCCCCCCGGGCACCAGGGGATCATGGGGCCCACCCGTGTCCTTGCCCAAACACAATCATGGGGCCCCGGGCAAAGCCTATGAAAAAGGAAACACAAAAAAAGCCAGGGGCATCTCATGGGGCCCCCTACTGACCCGGGCCCTCAAGCAGTGCCCAAGCTTCCAAATGGTCAGTCCGCCCCTGGCGGTAATCAGATTACCGAGCGAATGACGTTTTCGATTTTCAGACGAAAAATCGTTCGGAGTTCGACCCATGTATGGCCAGCATAAGTACCCATCCCTTCCCATATCTGGATGTAAACATTACTGCCAAGGCCAAAAATCAAATTCTAGTCCAGAAAGTGACACCATAGCATGTCCTGTAACTCTCACTCTTCACATTCATCTAAAAATCCTCCATCTACAGCAAAAACAGCTTTGCAGGCCTTTGGCATACTAGTTCTCCACTTCTGAAGCTACAGAATGAAAATTTCAACCCACATCCTCGATTCCCATTAGTGAGAATGGCTCATGGGACATTTTTTTACTGGCTTTACAGGGAAACTCTCCCCACAGGAGCCAGGATAAGAGTGAGATTCAGCGATCCTGCTGCAAACAATCAATGACAATATCACCAAGAGGACTTTGCATGCTGGGAAGTATACATTAGGAAATCCATCGTCTGCCAACTCCTGAATTATGCCAAATCCTGTACCACCCTGAAAAGGAGACCCCCCCCCCCCCTCTTCTCCCCTGTGGTCACGTAGGGTACAAAATATCAGGCAAACGGAGGACTTCATCTTCATTCTCTACTGCCAAACCAGACAACACATACTGAACAAGAATTTACTGAATCAATATTTTCTCGGAAGGCGGTGAAGCCCTCTTTCCTGGAGATTTTTTATCCACTGCTCTGCATCCCCCTCCTGAAGAACACCCAACCCCTCCCTTCCCCATCTTCCTCTCCCTACCTCTTGCCCTGCCCCTTCCTTCTAACGTCCCCTTTCCCTTAACCCCCACCCTGAAGTTCCAGATTGCGCTCCTCTCGCCCCTCCTACCCCACCCATCTCAATTTATAATATATTCATGAATTTACTGTGTAGTATATTACAGTGATTCTACTTTTTTTTTTTTAAATATTATACCGATCTGCTCTGTGCGATGGTTTTGCACAGGGCAGCCATGAACATTCTCTTCTGGGGTCCCCTGCTGGCATTCCTGGCTCCTCCCCCGTTCTGAGTGCCCCCATATAAAAAGCCACCGGCTGTGGGGGCACTTATTCAGACTCCGCTCTGTCCTCATTGGTTGTGATCGAATCCTGCTGCTTCGAACTCAATTTCCATTGAGGAGAGTGAACTGCTCCCTCCACAGCCCCCCGAAAGCTATCTTTCGGTCCAGTGATATGCATGGGAGCCTTGGCTGTCCTGGGTCTCCCCCTCTCTCAATGCCTGAGACAAAGCAGCGGGAGCCATTGCCTCCCACTACTGTCAATCACCGCCAAAGAAGAGAGAGAAGGAGGAGGGGGGCGAACTGTGGCTCTGTGTCTCCTACGGAGCAGGGCTGGGGAGTGAGCACGCACCTGTGCCCCCATAGAACATGGCTTGCTACTGGGGACCCTAGTCAAGGAAGAGGAGCCAGGAGTGCCAGTGGGGGACCCAAAAAGAGGAAAGGGGGTGCTCTGTGCATAACCATTGCACAGAGCAGGTAAGCATGGCATTTTTAAACAACCTTTAATAACACTTTAAGGTAAAAAACCTTCCACATTTAGAACCCATAAGAAGCCGCCACCTAAAGACAATTCGTGTTTTAAATAGAAGATGTAACAGCCTGATGTGTTTTTAGAAAACACTTTAGACAATTTTCACACCTAAAGAACTTTTCGAATTGCCAGCACTTCGAACAGAATCGGTTTCAGCCGAGCGCACACACAAACTGCAGATTTACACATTCGCAACAAAAATCCTCCTGAAAAAACCTCCCAAATAAGTGAAGATGTCACAGAAACCCCGAGCTATGCAAACCCAACTGTACTGACATCTTCCTCCTAGGAATCTGAAAAACCACTTACCTGGTCAAGGTTTTTAAAGATTAGAATATCTTTGCAGGATTCCTGTAGCCGACATCTCTGCTCGTCCGTTTTCGGGTGAACTACCTAGAAGACATATATTATTATTAGCCGAGCATCAAGGACGAGTCAGGAGATAAAAAGCCACTTCTGCACCAAGATGTAAGAGAAAGCCCATAGGTGGGGGTTGTGGTTGTTGTGCGATTTTGTGCAGTCTGACAAACCATATAAAAAGGACCATCTAACAGGGGCTCTCCCTCCATCCCCCCCCCCCCCCCTCTGGGCTCTCCTCCATCCCCCCCCCCCCTCTGGGCTCTCCTCCATTCCCCCCCCCCCTCTCTCTGGGCTCTCCTCCATCCCCCCCCCCTCTCTCTGGGCTCTCCTCCATCCCCCCCCCCCTCTCTGGGCTCTCCTCCATTCCCCCCCCCCCCCCTCTCTCTGGGCTCTCCTCCATTCCCCCCCCCCCCCTCTCTCTGGGCTCTCCTCCATTCCCCCCCCCTCTCTCTGGGCTCTCCTCCATCCCCCCCCCCCTCTCTCTGGGCTCTCCTCCATCCCCCCCCCCTCTCTGGGCTCTCCTCCATCCCCCCCCCCCCCCCCTCTCTGGGCTCTCCTCCATCCCCCCCCCCCCTCTGGGCTCTCTCCTCCATCCCCCCCCCCCCTCTGGGCTCTCCTCCATCCCCCCCCCCTCTCTCTGGGCTCTCCTCCATCCCCCCCCCCCTCTCTCTGGGCTCTCCTCCATTCCCCCCCCCCTCTCTCTGGGCTCTCCTCCATCCCCCCCCCTCTCTCTGGGCTCTCCTCCATCCCCCCCCCCTCTCTGGGCTCTCCTCCATCCCCCCCCCCCTCTCTGGGCTCTCCTCCATTCCCCCCCCCCCCTCTCTCTGGGCTCTCCTCCATTCCCCCCCCCCTCTCTCTGGGCTCTCCTCCATCCCCCCCCCCCTCTCTCTGGGCTCTCCTCCATCCCCCCCCCCTCTCTGGGCTCTCCTCCATCCCCCCCCCCCCTCTGGGCTCTCCTCCATCCCCCCCCCCCCCATTCCCCCCCCCCCTCTGGGCTCTCCTCCATCCCCCCCCCCCTCTCTCTGGGCTCTCCTCCATCCCCCCCCCCTCTCTCTGGGCTCTCCTCCATCCCCCCCCCCTCTCTCTGGGCTCTCCTCCATTTCCCCCCCCCTCTCTCTGGGCTCTCCTCCATTCCCCCGCCCTCTCTCTGGGCTCTCCTCCATTCCCCCCCCCCCCCTCTCTCTGGGCTCTCCTCCACACCAAGCTAGGCCAAGGCTTCATGGAACTAGCTTGGCACACAGGAGGTACAATCAAGTTGGGACACAGAAAGGCATTTCCCCAAACTGTTACTACAAGGTTGGAGGCGCATTCCTACCTAAAATATATCTTTATATGCTGTAGCAACAGAAGCCTTCCCTCCGTCCGTTGGGATTTCCACATTCTGGCCACACAGTATACCTTCATATTATAGGATTAGCAAATGACAGGCACATATGTGACAAGACAGCCCAGCGCCTCTCTGTGCCTGTGTGAAGTGTGACTATGAGCAGCCAGAAATGATCCTGCATTAATCAGGTAGGAGGGAGACACTCGGCAGGAGGATAATAGCTCTAGGAATGCAAAAGGCTACAGCTGCAATTATAAAACATGTGCCGGGTACAAAGGAGCGGAGGACAGCTCAGGGTTCAAAGCATAGTTCAACATAAAACACCCTTTTCGTAATGGCAATCAAAACACAACGCATGCAGATCACACCTGTGTGAGCCACCTCAATAGGAACACATAATATCTAGCCTGTCATGCGAATTCGAGTTTGAAAACACATCCAGAACTGCATTTGTGTAAACCAAGACAGCGCCATTCACACCTGGGCTTTTGGGATCACAACAGAATCCCTGCGATCACAAAATGCAGGCTCAGGTACCATTATTCTCAATGGCACCTAAAACCCGGTACGGTTTTGCCACGATTGTTATGTGGCAAATCGCATCATGTGAAGCCTGTGGCCCAACCGTTGCCTTGTCCCGAGCATTGACAACCCACCCTACGCTTAAAAAAAAAAAAAAAACAAAAAAAAAAAAACACACCTTTAGCTGGCTCCAAAATTCAAAGGCTAATTTGTCAAGCCTTGAGCTAAGCACACCCTCCTGTCTGCATGCCTGGGCTAAGGGCAGATGGCTTTAACCCCTTCATGCCAGCGCCTCCCGACCCTTTAAGGGTTTCAGAAGCCGGGGCGGGGTTTAGGGTCATGTGACCGCCACAACACCGTCACGATTGAGAAAGGACCCAATTGAAAGAGGAGATCCGGACCTTTCCGTGAGTACCACACAGGTGTGCTGGAAGCGCCCAGGGTGCGCGCTCTCAGCACATATGTTCTTTTTTTAATAGAGCGCAAATGTGCGGCCGTTTGGCGTCTAGGCCCAGACGCCGGGAGGCCGCACATTTGCGTTCAGCCGGCGTGAAGAGGTTAAGGAAGCAAATGTTAAATGAAACCTCTGGCCTTACTCAAGATGGCAAAGGCTAGAAAAACTAGGGGAAGTTTTTCAAATAAAATTTTTTTATTAAATTGTGTTTTCATTTTTTGATGTCCAAATACAGTTAAAGTATAACTAAAAGCAAAATATTACACCCTCATTGTCATGTTTATCCTCAGCCCAGGTTCACACTGAAGCTGTGCGGAATTTGCAGCATTTTCTGTGCGAATTCCGCACTGCATCAGAAGCGCACCAAGTTCATGTGACCCGCTGCGGGTGTGTATGCCAAGTTAACAACTCCCCACAAGCGATTCGATGTGCAGAATCTGATCGCATAGGTGTGAATACCCATGCGATCCGATTCTAGTTCAGACCATAAAAAGGGTCCTGCACGTTTTTGGTGCGGGTGCGGTGCGATTAGAGCCATACAAAATGTACGACTCCTATCACACCGCACGCAAATCGTATGTGAGTCGCACAGGAATGCAGTGCGGTTCCTGTGCGAATCACATGTGATATACCGCACCGCATGTATGTGAACCCGGGCTCATTGTCAAAAGCAAAAGTAGTAAATCCCAAAATTCTGGGTCCCCAGAACAGGGGAGGAAAGGAGAAATCTTTCAATGGGAACATTACAGGAGTTCTGATGACACCTCAGTATTCCTTCACTTTGTAAGAATTTCATCTATGGGACGGGAAGTGAAGGGAAATCTCCTTCATGAAGCACGTACAGGGGGAAAAAAAACCTGACAGGGGTTATAACCCTTCCTTTCTCCATCCAAAGTGGAAAAAAATTGCCGTAAGTTCTAATTTAAGTTCTGCTTTAAATGTTGAAACTCACAAAGCAAGGTTTATGATCAATTTGTAAAACATGGAAAAATGGAGACCTTTAACCCCTTCACACCGACGCCTCCCGGCCCTTTAACCCTTTGAGGACCGTAAGATTTTGGAACGCCAAAAGAATCAATTTTTTTTGTTTTTAAAGTTCGTACACTTCAGTTGCTGTAACTAAGCCATTTCATGAAATAATTGGCAAAAAGCTAGATCCACTTGTTGTTTGTTGATAAGAACTAAAATTTTGACTCAAACCAAAAAAAAAAAAAAAAAAAAAAAAAAAGTTTTAAGTTCTTAATCAGATGATACACGCAATTAAAAACATGGGACAACTACGTCCCTTGGTCCTCAAAGGGTTAAGAGTTTCAGAAGCCGGGAGGCGGGGTTTAGGGACATGTGACCGCCGTGACGTGCTGTCACATGATCGGGAAAGGTCCCGATCGAAAGAGATCGGGACCTTTCCGTGAGTACCGGACATGTGAGCAGGGAGCGCGCAGGGCGCGTGTGCGCGCGCGCGCTCGGCACATATGTCCTTTAATAGAGCGCAAATGTGCGGGGCCGCTCAGCGTCTAGGCCCAGATGCCGGGAGGCTGCACATTTGCGTGTGGCTGTTGTGAAGAGGTAAAAAAGGACAACATTCTAAACTTGGGACTCTATACGTTCAAATCTGGTGCGTAGAGCAATATTTTTCTAAAGTGGCCGGTGTACAGACATGAATTAGGCACAGGAGTAGTGAGTTGGGTCCCGATATCCGGCATGGAGCAAAATGTCTTTTTAATTGTACTGCTTGGGGATGGCAGAGCTTGATTTTAGCATTTTGTTTTTCCCTTAGACTCTGGGGCACCCTAAAGTCATATTAGACAGCAATTACATGAATTCTATCTTTAGTAGTTCTTTTAATTGCCATCAGCCACTTTAGGCCACACCCATACTTCCGCCACACCAATTCTTGGGGCTCTTTGGCACGCACTCATTTTTTGCTAGACTATCATAAGTTTTGCCCCGCTGTTCTAGGACAAGGAAAAAAAAAATTATAAAAACAAACCAACATAAAACATTCATTGTCTTTTAGGTGTGACTAAAGTGTGATAAAGCCGTGGGCTGGTGCTGCATAATGAATAGATGCTCATTTACCCGAGGTTCTGTGTCGTCGTCCTCCTCGTCGGGATTAAAGGCTTCAGCACAAACTAATAAAAAGAAAAATAAACAGCACTTTTAATTTCCTTTAGTATTCGGCATTACCATAAAACAAATGAACATCCTAGAAGGAATGCACAGTATTTATCCGCTATATCTGGCATATTACTGAATATTAACCCCTCGCCTACAGGGCACTTATACCCCCTTCCTGCCCAGGCCAATTTCCAGCTCTCAGCGCTGTCACACTTTGAATGACAATTGCGCGGTCATGCAACATTGTACCCATATGAAATTTTTATAATTTTTTTGTGACAGATAGAGCTTTATTTTGGTGGTATTTAAATCACCTCTGGGTTTTTTTTATTTTTTCTTAAACAAACAAAAACCATTGAAAATTTAGAAAAAAAAGTTTTAGTTTTTGTTATAACATTTTGTAAATAAGTGATTTTTCTTCTTCACTGATGGACACTGATAGGCGGCACTGATGAGGCACTGATAGGCGGCACTGAAAGTCAGCACTGACGGGTGACACTGAAAGGCAGCTCAGATGGGCACTGATAAGTGGCATTGATGTGCACTGGTAGGCACTGATATGTGGCACTGACACAAGGCACTGCTGGGGCTACACTGATCATCAGTGCCCTG